CTCTGTATGCAGATGGCAGTGAAAGAATTACCATCCGTCAGGCGCCTGGTTGATGTGCAACATGATTGCCGTGCCACCGGCGTGCTCAGGTCTTGCCGTCTTGCCATCGCAGGTGATCGCGGCCGAGGGAGAACAGCGCGCGTCGCGGTCCCTGAAGGAAGCCGCCGAGGTGATTGCGGACACGCCGTCAGCGCTCCAGCTGCGGTACCTGCAGACCTTGGCCTCCATCGCAGCGGAAAAGAATTCCACCATCGTGTTCCCCATCCCTATGGAGCTTTTCTCGGGCTTCATAAACAGCGCGAGCAGTCACGCCGGCGGTGGCGGCGGCGGAGGGGCCGACGTCAAGAAAGACCTTGAGGCTTCCGCGTAGCAGAGGGCCCGCCAGTCCCGTTCCAATAGCCTGTTCTGGAGCGGGACGGGCCAGAGGCGGCTCTCGCTTATCCTGCCTCCACCGCTGCGCCTGGGCGTACCCGGCAAATAAGAGCGCACCGGGGGCCTTGCGCCCGCAACGGGTGCACAAACATCGTGGTTGAACAACGCCGGTGAAAGAGCCGCGCTCGGAGGTCGGGCGGCACCCTCCTTCGAGGGAGTGTGAACTGCGTTCGGGGCAGGAAGAGAGCAGTCCGGGCTCGTCTACCTTACCTACCGCCCCTACCATAGGAGAGCGACTCTTTCCCTACCTGCAACAGAGTGTATGTAGCGTCCTTTGAAGCGCCCCCCGAAAAAAAATGAACCTTTCTTTTATGAGAACAAGTGAAGAAAATGTCGAGGGATAGATGACGCACCAGCTATGACTGATTTGTAGCGAGCTAGGCGCAGAAATGCCCGATGTGCAAGCGCTGCCGGCCTTTCTGCGCGAGCACGTTTTTACGCGGTGTGATCATCATGCTATCTGTCGTGGTGCCGACAAGCTGTGCTGCTGCACTGAATGAGTGTGAAAATCAGCCCAGTGTTTTACATAGGTTGTGTGATGCAGGCCTTCGTGTTAGGGTAGCCATATGAATCACATGCAAAAAGTACACTATGAGGAGTTGGGCTGGCGGTACACCGTAACTGAGGGCTGTCACCGTGTGACCTAAATCACGCATTTTTTTTTTCGTTTATGTACCTTATAGAGCACCCTATAGGTCGGTCTTCGAGTATGCACACATGTTGGGAGGCATCTCATATGTGCCACAGCAGCCGTGGCCATGAGAGACTTCAGGGCGCTTTGAAGGACGGACAGTGCTGAAACATTTACATCCGTCTGTTACAAGCACTCACTTATGGCGCTTGAAACGCACTCGGCAAGCGGGCATCTTCGTGGGCGCAGGATGTGTTACCCTACGGAGACGCAGCTTGCAGCGAAAGCGACTTGATGGCTTTCACACTCTGGAGAAAATCCATGCATGACAACACAGGCCAAATCCACGATGATGCAGAGGCCACATACAGGACAGCGGGACGCGGAACACAGAGGCAAACAGAGCAGGCACATGGACCAGAGAGACACACACTCTGCGACCAATTCTAAGCAGAAATGGAGTCGCGTCCACTGCGAGGCAGTCTACTTCGGCAAAGATGCCGAGGTAAAAAAAAAAGATAGCTGTACGTTCTCTGAGATGAGCACACAATTCCAGCAGTATTTCGTTATACTACATTTTACGAATATGTTTTACGCTATGTCCCCTAACGTGCTCGATTTGGCTAAGATGGTGGGAAAAAAAAAACTCAAGGCGTACTGCTTTCCAATGTATTTTATTTTTGGACGCATGCGTTTCTTTCATTACGTCTTGTTGCACGATGTGTTACTTGTGAACGTGTTTTTTAATTTATTTTCTATAGCAAGGCGCACTTTCAGGAGGCATGACGCCAAAAAGGCATGCTCGAATGGGTTATTTAAATGCAATGGCATTTATAACATCACCAAGCTTCTCCATGGGAACGTATTCAATGTTAAATTCTAGTCTGCCTCGAGGCTGAGGCAAACAATTGCTTAGTATCAAAATAATCAATTGCAGTTACATTTGTTTCGTTAACTCAGAGTCGGGTGGCGGCCTGGTTGTAAAACATGATCATGCGCCATGCCTGCAAGCATTTGCGCCTGCGATTACGAGACGCACGTTGTCTTTCTTTTTCTTTCTGTCTTTGAAACGACGTTAGTTTCTCGGAACGAAACGAGGGAAAAAGATGCTACTACTTCAAACGCATAATTAATCCATAAACCGGTTGTGAGAAAGTTGCGACAAGAAACATGTTGCTTTCGCGCAAGTATCTTTCGCTCCCCGTTCCCTGCATCTCGTTCTCCCGCCAAGAAACAAGCAGAAAAAAATGTTTTTGGCGGGAAGGCGTGCGCGCAGCATGTGCTCTGTAAAGTCCAGCCATTTAACTTGGTGTGGCGTGGTTCATTCATCGCCTCGTTACCCTTTAGTGACGTATCACTGCCTCTTTGAAACTTTTACCTCCCATAAAGAAAAAGCACTGTATCTCTGATACTTTGCAAGAAAATGAGGGTGTTCATTGAGAATCTCTGGCGGTAGAAAATTTTCATTTGTAGTTATCAGAAATATGTATTCTTGTCAATACAATTGACAAAACTTCTAGTCTAACTGCGCTTTCGTAGACTACCTACTGCGCATGGTTAGTTATTCCCTTCTTTGGGGCATATCTCTATATTGGACCAACCTACAGAAACTCGGCAACATGCTAGCTTTCTTTCTTTCTTCTTTTTGTCTTTTCTCTCGCTCTTACACATTTGGGGCAGTATCTTTATATTTGTCCCCGTAGGTGCGAAACGTATTGTAAACAGTAAGAATAAAAAAACTATATTTCATGTAAATACAGCATGGCTTACCTGAAAAAAGCGGGGCACGTTAACTCTTTCTTCTGTTGCAGTGTGGCTACCTGGAAGATATTCGCATTTCATCGGTCGTTAATTGCACAGTAGGTGTCCAAGATAAGGCTTCGTATATCGGTAATTTACAAGTCGATTGGTTAGAGTGGTGTTTTCTAGGCGCTGGCCTCGCAAGGTTTCTACACGCGAGGCAGTAAAGCTAAGCAGAGCATTCGCGAGTCAATTAATTTAAGAATAGTACGTTAAAAAACATTGAAAACAGACAAGTTGGGAGTAGGGAAAGAAAATCATCTATTTATGTGTCTAATACGACATTATTCTCTGCAGCTCATGAAATTAAATACACATTTGGCTTGTGCGCGCGCGTGTGACGTTGCGAGCAGTTTGCGAAACTCAAAACTGAAACCGGAAATGTCTTTTGTTGCTCAAAATTTTTTTAAAATGTGCTCCGTGTACTTCATCACCAACACAAATGCTACAAAGAATCATCGTCAGTTTCTTTCTTTCTCTCTATTTCATCAAAGGCGGTGTGACGTGACACCTCGCCGTCCTCTTTATTTGCCCGAAAAGAGACAAACTAGCTTTTCACGCATTCGTTGGCATCGTCCGGTGCCTCAATGCTTGAGGTTCCTCTCACATTTGCAGCGTGTAGAACTCGTTGCACAGTTCTACGCTGTACTTGTTTTTTTTTCTTTTTGACCAGGAGGCGCAGCAATCAGGATTTGACTCTCGTGCCCGCCACTGACCTTTTAGACCCGCCACCGACGCCCTTCGTTTTTAACTACGAAAATTTGTCATTCGAAACCCCTTCGCTTTACGGGCCAACGCGCCCGAAACCTAATTCGAGGAGAAAAAAAAAACGTCGTATGCGATTTCCAGAGACTGATTTGGGCGCCACGGTTGTTTCCAGAAGATGGGGCGTTCTAAAGGGTGAAAAAAACAACAACCCGCGAATGCATATTTCCACAGAGTAGGCATCCTTTCTCCTCGCGGCACATTACGTTCTGCTGCACTAGAGTCCTTGTAACTCGCACTATATCGTCCATCCAACTTCTTGTTATCTCTTGTATCATATAGGCTTCGTGAAGAGAGAGACACACCTCCATAGCGTCGCAGAGTTAAGCATCATAGATATAACTAAGACATTCATATGAGATATATTATATCTACGGTACATAAATATATATATATATATATATAATATAAATAACTGAGTGTTCTCTGTCGGAAGAAAAATAAAACCGGCACAAACTCGTTGGCTCCGTCTAGAGGTATTGCGAGCGCGTCGCCTATGTGTAAGTTCTAACAAGCCGGCACTTCTTTTTTTCAATGTCGGTATTATCTTTCGTAAACAGCAAGAGAGCGGGGAATTTCGAAAACAGTTACAAATAGATGAAAATGTGGGCTTGTGTGTGTTTCTTTGTTTTTTACGGGATAAATGGATTGTTATTTTTAGTACGCCTAATTATGGTTCTGAGTGTACATACATCACGCGCTTGAAGTGTACATAAGGATTAAAGAGGATGAGGCGTTCACTCCATTTATTGTTTTTTTTTGTGATGTTATTTTATTTTTCCTAGAAACTAAGTTCCCGTGTGCGTGAGAATACGATGAAGCCTATACAGCGAGAGCAGTGGCCTGGATCTCGTTACTTACCGATTATAACTCTCCACAGCCACCCCTACATTGAGGTTACTTTGCGCAAGTGTACTATAAAAAAAAAGCCCTGTTGCCGTGTATTCCAGTTCTACGAGAGGATGGCTATCTGTTGTACATACATATATATTTCAACCGTTTCCGGTATACAAAAGAGTTATGCGATATGAAGCATACTAGACGCAAAAGCTCAATGTGATGCGACACTGTTGTGTGATTGTGCTTGTTAACGTTTTTCGCTCCTGCGCCATTTGTTACGACTACGTTGCCTTCTGTCGTGCTTTTTTGTTCGTCGCTCGTAGCCTTCACAAGGCTCATTCACGTCGTTGTTCGATGGCCTTTTTCCGTGTTCGCAAGTTTAACCTGCATCGTCGGGGCACATTCTTCCGAAGCAGGTGCGAATCCCTTCTTGGGTCGGTACAATATCGCTACTGCGAATGTTACGACGCGAACGAGAAGTAAAAAAAGAAATCGACTAAAACTCGCTATTGGCCTGAAGGATGTTGTTCTTCAATTGCAGCGGGAAAAAGAAAATAATAAGAGATCACGCACGAACACTGTGTATTTTGTGACTTGTCTTCTTGATTTGAGATCTGCCAATGTCTGGCACTTCTATGCACTGTGTCCTCGTAATCGTTCTAATCTGCTTGTGCGAATGAGCGCGTGAGCACGACCACTCTGGGCTGTGCTTAGAGGTCAACTGCAACAAAAATTTTACTCCGCATAAAACGCCCACTTTCAAACAGTGGAGCCTCCGTGCGAAATTTTGCCTCCGAATTCCGAGCGAGGGCGTCAGGCGACAGCTCTGCCGTTTGTTGGTACTGAAACCGAAACTATAGTCCTCAGCGGATGTGACGTATACAAGAGTGTGACCAAGTACACGTGGCTCTTCGCCACGACCTCAGAAAAAAATGGGGCATTGAAACACCTGAGGGACGGCGTGCTTCTGACTGCGCTACATCTACGACCACTAAGTGCACACGTCGCGTATCTAGGCTCCGAACAAAACCACATACAGCCCTTCAGCTTTCCAAAGGTTCTCTCCGTAACATATTCTAGTCACTCATAACAGATTCTGTCAAGGTGAAGCTTTCTTGCAGTTGGCCTTTTACGACAAGTATATTTTGTTCTTTTTTTCTAAACATTACCCTGCTCTAAAAATGAAATTAAAGTAGTATTACTAATTGTCTCTGCATAGCGACGCGTCATCAGATTTTTTTCTCTAAATCTTTCGGGGCTAGTGTTATAGTGCGTCGTAAAAAACGCGCATAATATGCGAAAAAGAAGTGCACTGACGCATGTATCAGTTCTTCAGCGTTACAGTGGTATATTGTTCCTTTACGCTAACATAAATCAACGTGTTCAATCTTTCTAAATCTATAGCCCCAAGTATGGCTTGCAGTGTCGCTAACCGCGCCTCTCATACATGCACACCCCATTAGTCTGCAGCGATCCTTGACATTGAATGAGCAACTCACGCGCTGTTCAATTATAAGATGTGAAAAACTACCAAACGGGGATTCTAAAAGAAGCTTGGCAACTCATTGTACACTAACGCAAAAGCGAGGGACCCACGGATTTGCCTATTTTCGATCCATCTTTGACAAGAAGGATCCACATACGACGTATATTGTAGACGTCATGGCGTTCTTTTACCCCGTTCTCAAGACGCCGAGTGTTACACTTTGAGGGCAGTTAGCACGAAGAGATTCACATGTTGGAGCCTTGTATCGTTTTTGGTTGGTGAAAGCGCTAATGCGTGAACTGTTGTTTCTTTAAGCTCGCAGCCTTTATTGTCGCATGAATTTGTTTTTCGGAGGCGAACCCTGACCAAAACGTTGGTCCCACGTGTACTCATTGTACACACGCCATGTAGACCAGAAGGATATAATCCCGTTACTTTGGTCTAATATTCCCTTACAGCTCACACGAGACCTTCTTCGATTCCTCCAGGCCTGTGTTATGACGTCTCGGTCGAGCTAGTGCTATCTCAGTTACCCATTTTCTTTCGAAATTGCTTACGCGTCACGTTTTGCTCTCGGACTTATCTAGTGAAATAATTCGTGAAGTCATTGGTTCCTTACGAAGCTAACCGTGACAGATAATACACTTTAAAAATGCTGTAAAAAGTGTTTGTCTTCGAGATGGAAAACAAACAAAAAAGGGCCCCGACAACGTCCTGGCTATAAGTTAATTGGTTGTCAGTTTCGACCGTGTACTCTCGTCGGCGTAGGGCCATCAAAGTCATCACCAGTTCATTTCTTTTTCTTGGGACCAGAGTTTGTCTTGACGCATCTTTTTTTATCATTTCCAACCCTCCCCGATCATTGGATATTCGCAACCCTTTATGTGGCCAACCGGACCTATCGGAATCTATAAGATGAGAGTAAATTACCAGTAGGCCCAGGCATATGGGCACTCGCAACACTTTAAAACGATAGACACAAGGGAAATAGATTATTTGGCAAAAATCATATTGTATTCACTGCTAGTGGTATTGTGGGTGGGCCCGTAGGGCTGCTCGCTGATTAGCTGCGCTCGGCGATAACTCACAAAGGCTATGCTAGCAGTACACTGACCATGTACTGACTGCTTATTCTTCGTATAGGCATTGTGCAGGTTCCCTCACGTGCTGCGTTCCCAAGTACAGCATGCGAGCAGATCCTACACTGTAATCTCACGTTCTGATCTCCGTGTTGAGAGATTACTCATGAAAAGTACGCCTTTGCTACAAGGCGGCTTTAGTGCTGTTCATGGCACTGAAAATTTCTTACGTGAGGTAAGTGTGCGAAAGTGACATTGCAATATCGACAGCCGTATCACTCCTTCTCCAAATGCATAGAATGAAGTTTAAGCTTTTCTTCCTGATGCTAAGCACTTATACTGAAATCAACTAGGTGCTTCCCCTGTCGTTTTCGGGCGTTCATACAATGAGATTACTTATCTCACCACTTGCTGCACGTTACACCCACCTTAGCACTAGCGGAATTTCATACGACCTATACATATACTCCTCTCAAATCGCGCATAAGCTAGTTACATTACGTTGTATTTCACGCCTTCATGTCGCTTGTTTTCTTGGCAATGTACATTGGTGCTCTTCAGTAGAGTCTCGCTAACCCACATTGAAAAACCATAAAAAAAAGTGAATTATGCCCACTTTTGCGACCATGTTTACTTTTTATTGGGCCGTTATGAACAGTGTACTCATCGCTCTATCTAAGTGCGTTTCGTTAGTTTCACTGCCGTTGAGACTGTGAGCTCAATGGATCACGATATTTTCTTACCAAGACTTTTCTCACACAAGCAGTGACCAATGATATGCAGCCAGTGGGCTCATTGCATCTGCATTGCACGATCGAAGCCGAGACTGTTTGCTGCTTTGAATACAATTTTGAATGTGCTTCTTCCGTCGAATTTATAAATTTAACGGGCACCCCTGACAGTGCCAAAAAGAGGTAATGATGACATGCTTAGAAAGAGCGGGAAGTAGTTAAAAAAGGTGTCGCGAATATTCGCTGTTGGTAATGACTTTCTTAAACATTCGACAAATTAGGAGGTATTTTTTGTATAGAAGTGCCAAAAAAACTCAAATGATACAATCGAAACCTTGTAGCGTAAGTTACCGTGTTCAGCCGTAATTCATGGAGTATGAGCAACAGGGAGAAAAAAAGTCATATCTGATGTTACACTGTCTACTGTTCTTTCGTTCCTTGTGATGTTTGCTGTGCAATCGAAAAAAAAACGAATTGTTCAAAATGATGTCACCATTATTACACACACAACTAGGTTTCATGTCATCGAAAGCAACCTTGAAATGTCATTTGAGTGGCGCTGAATGGAGTGAAATAAAAATGGTAACGTCGTGTATACGCAAAGCTTGTGTTGTATTCGTTTTCTGTGTCCCTGTTTCACAACTCTCATCGACCAAGGGGCATGAATATTGCTCACTCATCTGTTTTGTGACCATACGCCACAGAAAAAAACGCCAGGCCTGCGTGGTAGGCGCAGCACAGTCACAGCGAAAGCTAGAAGAGTGGCCTTTCAGAGCTTTTTCAAAACACTCATGTAAGTTTGCTTGCAGTATAGCTCCTATACTGCAAGCAAACCTGCTTGGTACCCACTAAGGCAGTATAATAAACTTTTGGGTAGTAGGCCGGCATTCGCTGTGCTATTTTTCGTCATTCTTCTGAGCAGCGTGGTATCCGCTAAACACTTGCAAGGAATTTTGTGCCGATTGTCCAAGCAGTGGCTGACAACGATGAGGAATTATGGTTGTAGTGGGTATGCGCCACAGTTAATAGGGAAACAAGAACAAGCTTTTGTAATGGGTTGGAGCATTGGGCGGCCCACTCTTTACTCTATTCGCATTGTGCGACGACTGGATGTTCTTTCGCTGTTTTAAAACGCTTTATAAGTCGTATTAACGCGAATGCTCTTCCAACATCAAGCCTGCCTAAGGCAAGTTTGACAACAAACCAAACGCACCGGAGTAGCTCAGTGGTGTAATACTGGGCTGGCACCCAGCGGAACTGCCTTCTAACCCCACTGTGTCATTAGTGCTATAGGTCATTGGTGCAAGTTTTTTTTTTTTTCTAATTTCGCGCAATATGGTTACGAACACCAGTGGCGGACAATATGCAACTGCACGTGACCCGAAAAGTGATCTCATAACAGCTTTTGCTGTAATACAGCACAAACACACCGAACAAGGCAAGGCCGAGGATCCACACGAAGGCACAAGCACCTCAGGTAACATTTTATTTGTAGCAAAACGTGTGCATTTTAAGCTTGACCTTAACAAATAATGTTGCTTGGTCTTCTGTCTACTTCAAGTCAGAAGCGCTTAGAGATGCTGCGTTTCTCGTTTAAACTCGGATGCCTTCATAGCTGTAGGCTGCCGGGCAACTTGTAGCGCATTAGCAGTGTCACTGACGGTGTAAACTGCATCGTACTTTCATTGCCGGAACCACGTTGCCAATAAAAGCAGCGCGGCGCAATCTCGTAACCCAACTGCGGGCACTGTGCCTCGTCAAACATCGACGATGAACACTGTTCATATTTAGAAGGTGTGTACATTGAGGGAGACAGTTGTTACACTCTCCAAGTGCGTCATGTGTAGTAAAAAAAGAAAAAAAAAGTATGTGCGGCCTAAATTCGAGGAAGCAGTCACGCAGAGCAGTGTTATGAGAATTGTTGTACGTATTACGAAAGAACGACACACATTTAGTTAGTGTGGCCGATGCCTCGGTGTAGATACTGTACGTTGGAAAGACAGAGTGGAAGTTGCGGCGTTGGCTTTTAATCGTTAGGCGATGTGTGGCAGTGTACTTTCGCATACCTTTATCGGGTCGTGGAACAGCCATTTAGTGAGGCTGCAAAACTGGATAGGTCCTAAAGATAGTGCTATAATGAATTTATACGTGGGGTTTAACGTCCTAAAACCACCATATGATTATGAGAGACGCCGTAGTGGAGGGCTCTGGAAATTTTGAACGCCTGGGGTTCTTATATCCTGCACCCAAATCTGAGCACACGGGCATACAGCATATTCGCCTCCATCAAAAATGCACGTGCCGCAACAGGGATTCGATCCCACGACCTACGGCTTAGCAGCGAAGTATCTTAGCCACTGGACCACTACAGTGGCGCCGAAGATAACGCTATAGAACAACCAATTAGTGCAGTCAGTTACCGTTTTACGGTAAAGTGCATGCAGTTGACTACAGTGAGAACGAGGCTGGGCGGACAACCACAAGGGCCGGGACAGCAGGTGTACAGGCTTATTTAATAAAAAAAAAACACTGGGCTCTTTTGTCATGTATATTTGTAGCGCCTGACACCTAATTAGGTGTCATTTGTAAAGAGGTATAGCATTTTTAATGAAATTCATGAAGATGTTAGCCTATAGTTAATAGCCCGGTTCGCTACTCCATGTGTCATATGATGACTATAGTCACAATGATCACATACATACATATACTATATGTTCCCCTGACAAAAAGTGTGCATAGAAATTCATAGCTGCTATTTCTTTGTATAGTGCGTGATCAAGTAACATTTATCAATAATTGCCAGGACACAGAGTTAGTTCACGGAATCAGCTAGGGAAGCACACAGTATATTCCCGCACTTACATCGAGTGTTTGACAGCGAAATGTTTTATGAGATCACAACAGCCGATTATGTTGGCGAGGTTGTCCGCCACCGCCTGTAACCGCTATCACGCATAATGGGGGAAAAACGAAATCTCCAGGACCTAGAAGAATTTGAACCAGGGCTCTTTTTGCAGTGGCCCAGAAATCTTTATACACTCTAAACAAAAAAAAATGGCCTCGTATCTGCATGTCGCACGAAAAATGTCGTCAAAAGACGATAGTCTTGCGTCTAGAGTGAGTGAAAAAACGTTTATTTGATGTTCTGCGCAAAAAAAATCGGTAAATGGTATGCTAGAGGCGCTGCGTTAGAGTGCCTCGAGCGGTGCAGCGGAGGCGAACGAGCGCATCAAGTCACGTCACACGTCAGACATGAGCGCTATCTGGCAGCTATCTTAGAAAACGAAGTGCGCTGCATGCGCGCTCGTCTCGGAGGCGATAAGGTGTAAAACGCAAGGCGACGGGTAGGTACCACCACCGTGTCGTCTTAACAAAGCGTTGCATAGTGAGCGCAACGTGATAAATGCTACAGTCCTCATATTTACGTATGTATACCTTTTATAGTAAAGACACGCGTACAGAACATTGACGTGTTGTTTAGGTGCCTCAGATATGTGAAATAATTGCTTTTTAATTGACAATCGCACAAGTATGAACGCTGAACCTTGAGAAATATCTGTGGGCGCTGCAGATGGGTTCGGCCATTTGAGGTATTGTTTGTGCCGTTTAGGGTGTCTTTAAGGGCGGACAAAAAGACAAATGTACAGACAGACAGACAGACAGACAGACCAAAATATTTGCGTCGAAGGTCCCCAAGAACGACTATCGCCTTTAGTATACTCAACTGAGAGGAATTTGGGAAGGATGCACCCGCTCTGCTCCGGTGACGTCACTCAAACCAGATTGTACCGGAGCAAATACATTCGTTTTCCTCCGTTTTCCTCCAGTGATCGCCGGAAGAAGGAAACCGGAGGAAAACGGGGCCAATCCTCTGATTACGCTCCTGTGGTTCCTCCGAAAATTCTCCCGTGCATCGCTTTTGCCTCAGTGGATGCTCCCCGATTGCTCCGTGTCATCGCTCGCTGGCATTCATTGGCTGTTCGAGTAGTGACGTAGGCACCCTCGCCGCCGGGAGGCCGTTCCCCACAAACAAACATGGCGCAGACCAAGCCGGTGCAGTGAGGATTGTGCGAAGCGTTCGGCCGCGTTGGAGTAAAGAAAATCGTTCTGAGCACCTTCTGGATATCTCAAGCGACAAGAAGCAACGAAAGGTATCAACGACAGAAGGGAGTTTTGCGAACGGTAATCGTGTGACGGTTCCGGGCAGCGAACGACACATTGTGATCTAGCAAGTGTTGAGGGGCCCGGCGGTAGCTGGTGCGGCGAAAAAATAGTGAGTATGGTCTCCTTGAATTACCTGTGTTATTCTCGTTAGGTAGTGCTAAGATTGGAAAATGTTGGGTTGATAAACCAAACATGTGATTAATAGTTGGCTAATTTTACAAGACGTCAGTGAAACGTCAGCGGAATTCTGATAATGCGTTGTTTGGACTACGTGTATTTTTTTTCTTAACATAACTTCGGTAAAGCAAAACGAAGTGGTGAGCGAGTTGGTACGGATTCATAATGGCATAAATGTTGCGCAAAAAACGTGAACACCAAAAGCGCTTGTGGTTGTTCACTTTCTTGTAACTCGTTTTGCTTTGCGCAGCATTAATGCCATAATACCTTCGGTAAATTGAATCAAGTCCCTGTAATATTTGGAGCGCCGATTAGATATGCAACAATAGAAAATATCACAGTTTTAGGTTGATTCTACGAAACGTTAATAATTGTTATAGGTAAACCTAACTGGTTGAAATATATTTTTGGTCGTGTTTGATAGAATATGTAAGTTGAACTAATATACCTTGAAAACTACAATTAGTGTTAATTCTTTCTAAATGTAGTGAATTTATCTAGGACACTCTAAATGGTGCAGATTTTTAAGGCACACACACATTCATACTTGTGAAAAAGTTATTTGGGTTGAATAAATGGTATGTGAGATATTAATCTACAAGTATGCTAGGTATGCTAGCCTCTACGTGGGACGTGGTGCATTAAAGAAAAGAAAGAGAGGGGTGAAACAAACTGACAATACCAGGACGAGGCATGCAAAAATAAAAAGAAGAGGAGTTGCTCGGCAAAACGAGTCGTGCAGCGCTCGACGTTTTTGTGAAGGGGGGGGGGGGCATTGTAGTGAAAGAAAGAGAGAAAGGAGTGGCACCTTTTCGAAAAACTAGCGGTATTTTCTGTGTTGATAATGGGAAAGATTACTATCCTTGCTTCTGCTTTTTTTTTCTCGTTTCAGTCATGCTGCGATGGCTGTGGCTGCAGTTCTTTTTTTTTTTTGAGGGGGGGGGGGGGAAGGTAGGAGTGCGAGCAGTGCTGAGACGTACTTTTGACCTGGGCAATGCAACGACACAGGCTTGTGAAGATAAGAAGAAAAAAGAACATTTTTTTTTTTTTTTCAAGCCTGAAACGCTCGTCGTGAGGCTTGCACTTGCATCACCTTCTGTGGCCTCTGAACGTTTTCACGGACCTTTCAGTTGAATAAACTTGTCAGCCTTCCCTTATTTCTGTGAAAATGCAGTTGGCTTAGGTGGCATAATGTTTCAATTTCTTTTATTCTTTATTCATTCTTTTACGATGTAGTGAACTTTTCCTTATTATGTGCTTTAAGCTGTTCGTTTTGAAGAAATACATGCTCATACAATAACTACTTTGAAAAATGTTCACAACTACAAGTACCACAACAGAGTGGGCAGTGCAAATTAAAAATTAAACAATGCCAACTTATCTTAAAAATTATTTTACAAAGGAGATGAAGCTAGGCTTTTCTTAAAGACAGGCCGCAACCATGCATACTGTAAGGGCCCACTTTGCTAGAAGTAGGACGATGAGCACGCATTAAAATGCGACTCTAATAGTCAGAATTATTATTTGATAAAATTACAAATTATAGGGAGAACATTGCTGATGCCGTCTACAAGAGCACTGAAATAAGATTATTTTTGTCGAAAATTGCTTTTGAACGTTTCGACAATGGTAGAGCTATCGATTTAGAAATATATAGAAAACTTTGCCCAGTTTTCAACTTTGTTCGCTTCAGGGAGGTATGTTTTTATCATGTTGGGGCTGTCTCACACCGGATTACATCGGATGTGGTGCTTGATATTGAACGCTCATCCTCCTGTCTTTGTGTGTGTGTGTGTGTGTGTGTGTGTGTGTGTGTGTGTGTGTGTGTGTGTGTGTGTGTGTGTCTTTGTGTGTGTGTGTGTGTTTGTGTGTGTGTGTGTGTGTGTGTGTGTGTGTGTGTGTGTGTGTCTTTGTGTGTGTGTGTGCGTGTGCGTGCGTGCGTGTGTGTGTGTGCGTGCGTGTGTGTGTGTGTGTGTGTGTGCGTGTGTGTGTGTGTGTGGTTGCATGCGTGCGTGCGTGCGTGCGCGCATGTGTGGTCGGTTTTGGACGTTGCTTCCTCTCATAGACTCGCGGACTGTATAGTGTCCGTGGCTCAGTTTTCGTGCCTCTCGCATGATTTGCAGTTCTCATGTATCTTTATTTTTTTGCTAAATTATGCAGAAAGCAATCAGCTACACCCTTGCGTTATCAATAAATCTGATGGATGCCCTTCGGGGATGGTGAAGAGTTGTTCTCGCTGGCCAGGCTTTCTTCGTTTGTGGTGCATCGTTTTGCAGCATTATGGGGTTCATTTTGAAATGCTGCGCTTCAAATTTGAGTGCTGTTGATTTCATCTGATCTGTCTTATTGTGTTTTGTTTTGGTGGTGTTTGCATGTTTGTTTATTCATGTCTCCTTTTCCTAAATTTTGGGTAATCATCCAGAATTGGCATCTTGTTTTGAATAAATCAAAGAATAAAAACTCAAGTGTTTCCTTGAATTTCATCTGCTACAGCTCTGCAGAAAAGAATACACAATACCTCTGCAGAGCGTGCATGAGAATATGAACTTCCTTCATCTAACCAATATAATAAACGATCAGCATACAATAAATAAAGAGCGGAGCAAACACATTAAAAAGTGCTAGTCCACCTTACTGAAATTCTGTCCGCGCGAAGTAAGTACATTCGTAAAATACTCCGGAGATACCACACAAAAGCTCTGGATAGCTGGAGTGAAAAACCCAGAAAATATGCTCCGGAGATGCCACGTAATCACTCCGGCCAGCCGGAAGGAAATGCCACTAAAAATTACTCCGGCAGCACCACGCAATTGCTACGGTCGGCCGGAGTGAAATATCTTTTCAAAGTACTCCGGGGACGCCACGTGATTCCTCCGGATGTCCGGAGAAAAAACTGCTCCAAATAGGGGGTACGCTAGAAGACAAGCGTTTTCCTCTTACCTCGGAGTAATTTCTTTTTAAGTATACCATGAAAGCACGCCACCACTTGGCATTCATCCGTAGAAACACCTTATACAGAGATGAGTCCACTCGGGCAAACAATCCAATTGACATATGTGATGCGAAGCAGAATAGTAAAATAACCAGTCGTCACGCAATACGAATTCTATAACGAGTGGGCAGCTTAGCCCTCCCCACCCATAAAAATGCGGGTAATCCATATCATTTTTCATCATTTTTATTCAGAAGCATCAAGAAAATACGCCTAATGCCTTACATATGTGCATCGTTTACCTAGTTTCTCCACAAAATGAGGATAGGGGAATAATGAACACTTGCTTACCACGCAAACTTATCATGAATCATGACGTACTGGGTACCTTACAATTTTTTTTTTTATAGTATATAGCCACCTGAAAACGGGCAACGGGCTCTAGAAATGCCGTTCTTCCGACTTTCTTTTTGATGGTGCTGCGGCTTTTCCTCAGGCCAGGCAATTTCTCCTTTTTTTTTGAAAGCTTCAAAAAAAATTTTATTCGCATCTTCATAATTCCGAAAGTTTCCTTTCAGCCTTTACACCCATTTTGGCTCCTTAACATTTTTATACAGACTGGTATAATAAACACATCTCTCTAAAGAAGTGGTTTCCCAGCACAAATTTAAACTTCTTGAAAAGCAAACTGCGAGGTGCTATGGACATCCGTAAACGTAAAAGTGAAGTTGATTATCAAGTAATTAATTAATGTTATCTACTAAACATTTTAAATATAAGTTTAGGGTAAATATTATAATTTATGATGCGTAACCAACAAGTTCACCGTGTGAACCTGCTCCTTTGTGCTAATTTTCAGGGAGGCATGTAAACGTGTTTCGAGAACTCATTTACTGTGTGCGCTACAAAATACTTGGACGTTTCAATTGCTTTTGTGCGTGTTTGCAAAACAACGCTTGTCCGTAAAACAAACAAGCATTGTTTTACATACATGGAAATACCGGGTATGGCTTTTTCGAAGAAGACAAGTGCCTTGTACATTTTCCGGCTACAATTAATCAGTTGAAACAGGAACCGTAAAACAATGAAATGCTTACATGAAAAAGTATTCATTATGGTGATTTCAACAATCATGGACATCCGTGTTTCACCTAGCCGTTTCAGTTAGGTGAAATCGCTATTTCCGCGACAGACAAAAGGATGTATAGGAATTTCCGGCAATCTCTGGAAGAACACCTTCTAGAAACGGTTATATTGCTTTTGGCTCAACAAAACAGGAAGAAAATTCTTTAGTGAATAGGTTCACTGCACATCGAGAGCGCATAAAATTGATGCGTTATTGATCATCTAATTGACTCTAAGTAAGAAAGAAATGTAGCAGCTGTACCGGAGTTTCTTTATTTTTTCAACACGCTACAATGGGCAAGCAAACTTTCTTTCTATTAACGGGCATGAGGACTGACAGACTGTACATAGAAACGAGTCTCGAATGCGAGAGAGAACGTGCTCCGTTTATTGGCGCGTCCACCTCCCCCCTCGTGCCTTATCTTTGCTTCTGTTAGAATTCTCCAACGCACTTTCCAATTTACTGAATATTGCGAGGGACGGCTAAATGGGCCGCTGAAAGCGCTCGACGGCTGCCCCAGCTGTTCGCACAGCCGGCGCCTCTCTTTTGTTGTTCGTCTCACGTGAAGAAAAACGAAGGTTTATCAGAGTAATGAACTGCTCAACACGGTAAACAGCTGTCGGAAGGCCGCTCACGTCTAGGCGTTGTCTGTGTATAGCCTTTCGTTCGAACATCCACTCGCTGCCATTGCTTTCTGTTTAAAATAAGCCGACCTAACGATCTGGTCAAGAGCGCCATCGTGTGGACGCGAAGGTTAACAAAAGAAGCAAGTGAGTCAATCATGCCTCTCTAGATGGCGCGCAGAATGCTAATAGAAACACTGCACAATTGTGAACAATTGCGAGCTATTACAGAGGCAGGGCGTGATGGCGCTAGCAAATTTTGGAAATATGTGTCCTCATTAGATCGTAATACCCCGGCACCCGAAATTCAACATCACTCAAGCAACCAGCCAGTCACTGATCTCGCCGCACACCTCACGGACCACATGCAAGAGCTATTCAGCCCCACACACGACGAACCAATCGCAGCTGTAAACTTCGACCCCAACGACGAGCCACACCAACCAAGTGAACAGATATCGTAAACTTGAGTAACAGCGCTTTTTTTTTTCATCGTTGTGCCATCGCGACATGCTTATTCACTTTTAGTACCTGCTGGCTGTGTGTCCTACTGTACTAAATTTTTTTTTTATTGCATGCTGAAATTATTATAAGTAGTTTTATTTTCCAGAATGTTTAAAGCGTCACTATCACAGAAATGTAGTAACCACATTGAACTTTGTGCGTAAACCCCTTGCAGTAATGCCACTATGGCGTTGCAGCAACTCTGTAAATAAAATGAATGAATAAATAAATAAATAAATAAATAAATAAATAAATAAATAAATAAATAAATAAATAAATAAATAGGACCGTTGGAAAGTGACATGGATCGCTATTGAGCGTGCTCTCTTGCGTATCAGTGCAAGCACTGCTGCCGCAATAGACGGTATAGCGGCGGGCCTCGGGAAATGCCTGTGAAGTCTGCTCTTGAACACATCGCGGAAATCTTCACTACCATTCTGAAGGACGGGCTAATCTCATCTGACTGGAAATGCGGCTGAGTAAGCTTGGTGTGCAAGAGAGAAGGCGACGCTGGACAACTGGGTGACTATAGAGCAATCACGGTAACGAGGGTCCTTTTTAGACACTTCGCTCAGGTCTTGTAAGTCTGGATGAGTGGCTGGTCGGAGCAAGATGGTCTACTGTCTCAACTCCAAAATGGCTTCCGACGAAACCGGCGATATGAGGACAAACTTTTCGTGCTCACCCAGACCATCGAGGTGGCACGGAGAAAAACTAGAGGCCTGCTCGGACGCTTTCTGGATGTAGCCAAGGATAGTGTGCCACATGCAGAGTGGTTCCGCCAGTTAGAAAAACGGCAAATTCCGAGCATCTGGACAGGCTTCCGCCGGCAGCTCTATGCAGATAGCTTGGTGGTGGCATGTTTCAGGGACACCAGAGCGCAGCCTGTGAAGGTGAAAAGAGGACTCGGGCAGAGCGGCCCTTTGTCTTCACTGCTGCTCATGCTCTATGTGGCGGGGCTCGATGAGGCACTCGTGGAATAGGGATTGGGCTTCGCGTACCGACTCATGATCGATGGAGTATCGGAGACATTGACGCTTCCCGGCTTGGTGTTCGCAGATGATCTTGTACTACTGGCCGAGTGCAGCAGTGATCTTCAAAGTCTGTTGACTCTGGCGGCCCAACACCTGAAGCAGCTGGGCCTGCACTTCAACGCCAAAAATCGGCCATATTGCAGTTTTCGGGCATGGAGGATATCATCAAGGTGAGCTTCCCGACGGCGGAATCATTCCGGCGCTAGATGAACACCGGTACCTCGGTGTAAACATTTGCACCTCTGCAGATTTTTTCGACAAACAGGGGGAACATGTTCGTCAAGCGTCTGTGAGAGCTGCCAACGTGTTACGACGCGGCGTTTATGGTGGTGTAACCGGTTTGTTCTGGTGCGTGAACTGTGAAAATCAGTACATGTGCCAGTGCTGACATTCGCCAACGCCGTCATCTGCCTGTCCGCCGCAACACGCCAGTGGTTGGAGAGAGGTCAGCGTGAGGTTGGGCGACTGGCGCTGGCGCATCACGGACGCGTAGCTGTTGAGGGGGTCCAGGGTCACCTCGGATGGTCAAGTTATGAAGGACGGGAGGCAAGTAGCAAGGCCGCCTATGAAGGCCGTCTTCACCTCACGAACAATCAACGATGGGCCCGGCCCATCGTTGTATACTGCCATAAAAGTATACTACCATAAAATGCATCAGAACACAATGAAGCAGGCGTATTTACAACCTGTGTAGAAATTTCTCTCTTTTTACTGACCCCGTCCGGGAGGACAGCGAGAATAAATGAACCCGAGTACAGGAAGCGGAGACGTCGATGTGGCAGGTGGCTATGGAAAAAAAACCAAGCCTGACCTTCTACAGAGCGCACAAAATGAACATCTCAGCCGAGCATCTATATGACAACAGCGTCGCCAGCGCCCTGCAGTTTCGGGCCCGTGCTGGAGCACTCCGAACTAAAGTGTATCAACGTCACTTTGACCCGTCGTTGGCTGGCAGTACTGTGCAGTGCAGAGCATGCGGGGAGGACGATGAAACCATTGAACACATTGTTCTCCAGTACAAACGTCTGCCACCTCACAACCAGAGGCCACCACACTACCTGAGGCGCTTGGCTTCGTGGATGGCTGCGCCACACCGGATCGAAGCGGCAGCCGAGACACCAATGTGCACCTCCTGGCAGCAACATCTATTACAAAAGCAAGGCTTTTTTGTGCTGGTCAGGGGGACAGTGAACACTTCTAGTGTTCATGGACCTGTTATAACCCTGTGATGTGCATTTTTTGTGATAATTCATTTATTTTATCATCCAGGTCAGGACTCCGCAAGGCGCCCACCTGATACAAAGGGGACGGCCACAAACATCATCATTATCATCAAACGTACGCACGTGGGTCCGTGCATGCGTGCGCGTGTTTTTTCTCTACTAATATCTATCTCATTATCGAAGAAGGCACTTCAGAGCTGCCCACCCGACACAGAAATCATGACCATAATTAATGATAATTCATCGCCATCACGATCATTATCCGTGAAAACAAAGCCTCATTTAGGGATAGGAAAGAACAGTGTAGCAGGAGAACTTCGGAACGGTTTTGTGCGACCAGACACATGAGTTTGCAGCAGAGTAGCTTACGCCCAGTCACACTTTTGAACTTGTAAAGAAAGGTATTTATTTTGCGGCATCATTAACAAACATGGTTATTTTCATTAAATTTATAAAGCTCCTAAAATGGTGAATACCCGGCTGCCGCTTGTGTGTTTTTGCATAACGATCTATATGGCTGGTCTCGTTCACCACCGACAATTATTATTATTATTATTATTATTATTATTATTATTATCATTATTATTCGCCTTTTACTATGTTATTTTGTTGGAAGTATGCATTGGCATGGTTAATCATTCAATATCAATTATTTTCTATATTCGCATGGAATGTACTTTGTGTTGTATCTTATTGTGTTGAATTGCGCTGCCGCGCTTTACCAAGGAGTTAAAGTAAATAAATAAATAGATAAATAGGATTTTTATAGCCACACAAACTTCGCGCCAAAGAGAAGAACATGTCACTATATTTAGACTTTCAGAATATTTGTGTGCATAAGATTAAACATTAAAAGGCCCTATACGGACCAATAAGTCGGAGAAAGTTTCGTTGAGTTGCTATAACCAATTTAGGACACAGTTCAGTTATGATGACGTGGGTAGGACTTATTGACGGATATCCAGACAGGACACCACTTGGTATGCCTGTTATCGCCACTTTTGTTTGTATGAAGAAAGACAGTATGTGAGCTTGTCCTATTCACTATGGCTCGCTTGTTGAGCAGCGATTTCCGCGTTTTATATGTGTGAATGATATTGTTTCGTTCGCGGACAGTCGAACATTTAACTTTTCACGGATTTTAAGATAGTGTGAAAAAAAATCTTATTTGACGGTTTTTAATTATGCATTGGGTTAGGCAGTCACAACACAGGAAACCCTGCCCGCACTCGGTCAAAAAAATACACGAGTTCGCCATTAACCTTATCGCTAAAAGAATAGAATCATTTACCTTCCAGAACTTCTGCGGTAACTCAGCCTACTTTGTTCATTTCAGCGGTGCTAACGTACTTAGAATTTTGTGACCATCAGTAACAATTCTGCCTTGTTCGTTGTTCACTCTCGTTATAGCATTTACCAGAATTGTTACCATGTTTTTACTAATTGCTGTGTCATATCACTGTATTACTTAGCTACAATGATCCTTTCTCTGCAAAAATTATGTCCCTTTTATGTTCTGCCATTCCTATATAATGCCCCTAGTGGGCCCTTAGGTTACTAAATAAATAAATATATAAGTAAATAAATTCGGCATTTCCCGCGTACCATGATAATCAATGATATACGAAGCAGGCATCAAGTAGTTTTCTGTGTTACACTTTTAAAATGAGCATAAAGTTACGAGCCGGGTGGATGCAGTGCCCACAAACGTATGTAGATATTTTATACGCATTGAAGTAGCGAGAAAACGTGTAATTGTGAGGCATGGTTGTTCCTAGTTGCTTGACTACTACCAGCACCAGCAGCGGTAGACTGAAACGGTATTGTATTAGTCCATGATAGTCATTACGCGCATAAACATCGCGAATATGCATCCATGTGCCAATTGTGCCCATGTGTCAAAAATACGCGTCCAATAGGCTGTTTACGCATCGTTAACATGGCCAACATCAATGTAAACAGTCAGCACCAGTAGCAGATCAAGAGTTGTTGCCATAATCACCATTATTGTGGCAACAAAAGGTCATAGACACTGTATTAGGACGTATAGTTAAAGTGTTCAAAACTGTAGATGTCCCTTATGAAGAAGTGATCAATGACATCACTGTTTCTCGTCGTGGGAACGAGGTCTAGGGAAGTCCTGTCTGGATCAAGAACATCCTTCAAGTATTCTGTGAACCAGTTGTTTTTGGGTTTTAAGACATGCACATCATAGTCGCAGGCAATGGTGAGCGACATGCTATTCTCGGCAGAATCATTGCTGCGGCGAGTCACTCCAGCTTTCGTCCAATTTCTAGGGAACGTAAATAGGAAGGTTTTGCGGAATTATTTCGCACACCGGGGATCAGGTAAATGTGTGCGATGTCACTGCCGTTGTAATTCATGTACGCAACACAGTCGAAGCTGATTCGGCTGTTTGCATCTGTGTCCGGCGTTTGGATGCTGGCGCAGTGCGATCGCAGTAATGTTGCACGTTGATGTGTTCCATACATGGCCATGCCAGCGCATCTGCAATGAGGCCACTTCCTGTGGACGAGGCATTGGAAGCATCTAATGTAAATAGGCCCCTCGTCGTTCTGGGGTAGATATAAACTGTCGATCATCTCTCGCGCATATCATCGTATCGCGGCCCATGGTATACTCGCACGTGCCACACGTGTGTGCAGGATATGGTTTCATGACGTACGTGACAGAATTTTCCCGTTATTGATATCGTGACCAGACAAAATAAATGAAATTAAAAAAACCTTCGGCCCCGTATCTGCAAGTTACACTGCAAATGTCGTCGAAAGACGATAGTCTTGCGTCTGGAAAGAGTGAACAAAACGTTTATTTTATGTTTCGCGCGAAAAAATTGGCGAATGGTATACTGGAGGCGCTGCGTTAGAGTACCTCGAGCGTGCAGCGGAGGCGAGCGAGCGCACCAAGTCACGTCACACGTGAGGCATGAGCGCTATCTGGCAGTTATCTTGGAAAACAAAGCGCGTGCGCCCTGCATGCCTGTCTCGGTGGTGATAAGGTTTATAACGCAAGGCGACGGGTAAGTGCCACAACCGTGTCGTCTTAGCAAAGCGGTGGAAACACTTGCCTTTTCGTGCATGGGTTGCCTGGTCAGCGCAACGTGATAAACGCCACGGTCCTTATAATTACTTATGTATGCGTTTTCAGTAAGATACACACACACAGAATATTGACGGGTTGTTATGGTGTCCGAGATATGCGCAATAATTGCTTTTTAATTGACAATCGCACAAGTATGAACGCTGAATCCTGAGCAATATTGGGGGGCGTTGTGGATGGGATCAACCGTTTGGAGTATCGTTTGGCCTCCACTTTAGTGCCGTTTAGGGTACCGTTAAGGGTGGACAAACAGACAATTGTACAGACAGACAGACAGACAGGCAGACAGACAGACAGACAGACAGACCAATATTTTTGCATCGAAGGTCCCCAAGAAAGACTATCGTCTTCAGAAACTTTATTTTAGTCCGGCAGGACGTGCTTAGCGCGTAGTGGGCGTCTCCCACGTAGGGACCGACAGGGAGTACCTGGCGGCCGCATCGTGGACCTGCTGGACGGTTCATTGCTGGTCGGCGATTACTGAGATCTTCGGGAACCTCTCCCACTTATACTTACCTGGTGTCGGATTCCCGGTGGTCAACCTTTCCCACTTCTTTGAGGTAGAGTCTGAAGGAGTGTTTCTACACTCCCAGAGCATGTGTACGA